CTCGAACGCGGACATGATGATTTCGGCCACGCAAGGCTGCTCGTGGCACGCCTTGCTTGCAGAAATCACTGGTCACAGCTCGAGAGCATGAAGTGGATGCGCGGGTGCGGCGCCAAATTCGTCTGGAACTCGCTGATGTCCACGTTGAGCGCGCCGTCAAAGCGCAACGTCGCCGATAGAGAGGGCATGAATGATCTAGGCCAGAAGCCTGTTCACATTCGTGTAAGTGGGTCGTTTGCAAGTATTGCGTCGCTTCGCTATTGCACATTATGGCGATGTCCGTGTGCTCCAGCAAAGAATGTACGCACTGAGCCGCGCTATAAGGTTCCACGACCGCCGCGGTGATTTGCGGGCGCGCCCGCCCCGTGAACGACACCTTGGCCATCTTGCCGCAATTCACCCTCTGACGCCCAAGCATCACGCAGCCGAGCCCTGAACCCGTGCCCCCGCCGACGGCGTTGTACATCATACATCCGTGGAGGCCCGTGCAATTGCCGGCAAGATTCCGAAGACGATCCAGGACCACATCGACAATCTCTTTGCCGATGGTGCACAGTGAACCAGTATGGTAAGGACGCGCGAGAACGATGCAAGGGCCTTGGACGCCCATGTCGAGCGGGGCGCGGCCAGCGAAAGCGGCGAAAATGGACCGAGGAGGCAAGGATGCAAGGGTAACGGCCAGTGGCTGGCCGCCCGTGGTCTCTGGAGGGCAACGCTGAATCTCCCCAACGGTCACAATGTCGATGCGGCGTCCTTCTTCCCAAATGTCTGTTGCCATGCGTACTCTTTCAGGTTCTGCCCCTGGTGCCGGAGCAGGCAAACCTTCAGATTTTCGACGTCAAACTAGGTACCTCTCGGGGGGCGTGATAGACACGTAACTCGCCCCCATCAGCCCCCCCGACCGAAGTCTCGGGAGCGGGCCACCAGACACCATGCCAACAGGACCGCTGAATCCACCCAGCCCCATCCTTGGGGATGATACCCCTGGAACCCGCGTCGATGCCGAAGTTCGCCGACGGATGCGATGGACAACCCACGTCACACATCGACACTTTTTACGATGCGAACAGGGCGCCCCGCGGCTGAAGAGAGAGGAGGAGGAGGAGGAGGAGGGGGGAGGAGGTGCACCGAATTACGAATTAACTAGTCTGGCGGCCCCGGCCGAGCCCGCAGCCGCGCCTACAAGGCGGCCCGCCAAGCCTCCGAGCCACCGCCGGCACGCACCGCCGGCGTCAGCAGCAGCGTCGCCGCCCGCGGGGGCAGCGCCAGCGCCCACCCCGGGCAGGGCCTCGCCGACAGCTGCGCCCACCGCGCCGCCGAAGCGCCGCAACGCAGGCACGCCACCCAGCCCGGGCCCTGCGCAGCTGCGTGCACCCTCCATGCGGCGCCTGCGAAGAGGGCGCGCGCTGCCTCGGCCGGCGCAGGAGGCGCGACGGCCCCGCCGGCCTCAATCGCTGCCCGGGTCCGCCGGCGCGGCGGCGGAGGGGGAGCCGGCGCCGCCTGCGCCGCGGGCGGCGGCTGAGCCCTCCTGGCGGCGCGGGGCCCTCGCGCGGCCGTCCAGCGGCGGCGCACGCGCGGGCCCTCGGGCCCGCGGCTCTCGTGGTTGGCTCGCAAGGCCGCCAGCTCGACCGCGGCGAGCACGCGCTGCGCCGCGGCCAGCGCCGCCAGCTGGAAGTCGCGTTCCAAGCAGAGCGCGGGTGGGGGGAGGCGGACCCTGGCCGCTTCTCCCGCCAGGCGGTCGGCGGCCGCATTGCCCGCCCTGTCCTCAGCGGACAGCCCCCGGGCGAGCGCTTCCTCGGCAGTCGTGTGGCCCTTGACCCAGCGCGCCGTGAGGAAGCCGCTCCGGCTGTGCTCCGCGACTCGCTCCCAAAGGTCGGAGTGCGTCCAGTCGAGGTAGCACGCGCCGGCGCGCAGGGCGGCAACGCCATTGCGGACGTAGCAGGAGTCCGTGATGACCTCTAGGGGCGCCCCCGCAAGGCTGACAGCTTGGACCGCGGCGGTCAGCTCAGCCCGCTGCGCGGTCTGCGCCGCGTCCACCGGCCCGCTGCGGTCGCTCGTGCCGCGGGGTCCTTCCAGGCGCAGCCCCCAAGCCGCCCGGGCCATCAGCGGGCCCTGTGGCCGCTCGCACGCCCCGTCAGTCCAAGCCCTCCTGCGCGACTGGGGCGGCGCGGGCATCTGGGCCGCCGGGGGCGGGGCTAGCGGCGGAGCCCGTGTGGCCTCCTCGGCGAGGGCGGCGAGCCGGACATGCCAGCGCGCCCGTGTTCGCCACGCCCGGCGGCAGCCGCGCGCGCAGCGCGGCCTGCGAGATCCGCGCCGTCGCCAGGGCGGCGGCCCTGTCGGCGCCCCAGGCTGGGCAGACCCAGAAGCGGTGCTCGCGATCCTCGCAGGCGGCGCCGCAGTGCGGGCATCTGGCCGGCTTGCCCCACTTCGCCGCCACCGATTCTGTCACGACGTTCCCAGACAGCACTGCGCGCAAGGCCCCTGCCGCGTCCGGCGCGAGGGCCCCAGTCTCCAGCAGCCGCCTGGTTGCCCAGCGGTCCACCCCGCGCGCGACATGCGCGAAGTCAGCCCTTCTGCCTGCCACGGCAGCCGCTTCCCTGCGCGCCCATGCCTCGAGGAGCACAGCGCGCGTGGCCTGGAGCGGCTGGTCGGCCGGGCGCCACCCGTCTGGGCAAGCAGGGACGCCGGTCCAGCGCTCGACGTCGTCGCCGAGGCGGAGCTGCGCCAAGCTCCAGGCGGCCGCGGCGACAGGGCCGGCGCCGCGGCCGTGCCCGGCCGCGCGGGCTCCGTCCGTGGCCCGCCAGAGTGCCAAAGGAAAGCGCCCTCTGCGGAGCGCCTTCGACGCCTGCCACAACGGCGCGAGGGCGACGACCGCCGCTGGGTCCAGCCGCCACGTCGGGCTCAGGACCCCAAAGACCACCTCTGCGGCAGCGCGGAATCCGCCTCGGCACACAGCCTGCCGCGCAGCCGCCCGCAGCCCGGCCAGCTCCTTCGCAGGTGGGCGGCCGCGCGAGGCGCCGTGCAACCCCGCCGAAGTGCCGGCAGCAGCGCCCAGCATGCATCGGTGTCGGAACTCCAAGGGGAGCCGCCCGATCCGCGCAAACCGCGCTCCAGCTGCGCGCGCCATGGAGCCGGCAACGGCGCAGCGAGGCACCCGGCCCGCGGCGGCGACCACCCCGAGGTCACGGAACTGCCGCCCGGCAGGGATCAGAGGGGTCTGGGCCGCCAGCCATCTGCGGAGCGCCGCGGTGTTCGCGAATTGCCGGCTCTTGTCGCGATTGAGCCGCCAGCCCATGGCGAGCTCGAACTCGGCAGTGATGGCCAATGCGCTGGCGACCGACTCCGCCACCTCGCCGGCTTCGCCCTGGCCGCCCCGCGCCCACAGCGTGAAGTCGTCGACGTAGATACGCCGCCGTAGCCGGTCGTCCAGCTCCCCCGTGCGCCGTTGCCACGGCAGCGCGAGGACGCTCAGGAAGAAAACGGCCAAGGCGCAGCCGGGCAGCATCCCGCGCGCGGGCTGCCATGCCTCGCCGATGGCGCGCCCGACCCGGATCCGGCGCGGAGCCGTGTAGGCCCTCAGGGCTGGGGCCAACACCCATTGAGGGACGCTGGCACGCGCCAGGATGCCCGGCAGGGCGGCCAAGTCGATGTGGTCGTACGCCTTCCGCCAATCGAGCGCCGCCCCGGCGATCGTCTCGGACAGCGCCTCCGCCGCCTCCAGCTCCAGCGCGAGCTCCCAGGCCAGCTCCTCTGCTCCTCGCTGGACCTCCTCGCCGGCCCACCGCAGGCGCCGCCGAGCGAACAGGCGGGCCCTGCCTGCCGCCCACAGGCGGTACAAGATGGGCAGGAGCCATATCGGGCGCCTGTCCATGGGGTCTGCGCCACCCCCGGGCTTCGGGAGCAGGAGGCCCTCCGGCTCCACCAGCTCGCTAGGCCAGCTCCCGCAGGCCTCGATCTCCTCGAACAGCTCGGCGATCCACCCGTGCAGCTCCGGAGGCAGCAATCGAAGCTCCTTCACGGTCCACCCGTCTAGACCCGGCTTCTTCCGCCGAGGCATGCGGCGAAGCAGCGAGGACACCGTCTCCGCCGTCCAGGGCGCCCGCTCGGGGAACGCTGGGAGGCCATCCAAAGCCTGAAGCCACTCCTCGCCCAGCGGCGGCGCCGACTGCCGCTGCCAGAGTGCGCGCCACGGCCCTTCGAAGTGGCGGAGGCGCGCCGCTGGGCCGCCACGGAGCGCCACGGAGTGCTGCGGCCGCCGCGCCAGCCGCCGGGTCGGGCACCAAATCTGCCTCGAGAATCGACCCGCCTCGGATCCATCGATAGAGACGGCCCTGCGCGTTGGCCAAACTCTCTTGGGCCCAGCGGCGCCATTCCTGCCTGCGCTGGGATCGCGCTGCCGCCTGGGCGGCACGCCATTCGGCCTCCGCATGCTCCAGCAAGGTGGCCGGGAGCTCCACGTCCGGTCGCAGGTCTGCCAGCGCCGCCCGCCAGACCGCATGGTCGGCGTCGGCCTGCCGCAGCGCCATCAGCGTGGACATCGCGACCTCGCGCGCCGATGGGGCCCTCCGCTGCGCGTGACGGAGGCCGCGCAGGCGGCGAAGGCGGAGGAGGGCAGTGTCCGCCTGCATATCCGCGGCGTCGCCTCCCCCCCCTCTCGTCGGCGGCCGATCGGCGGCCACCGTGGCAGCCGCATGGGGCCGGGGCGGAGCTGCTGGGAGCCCCCGCCGACTCGCCAACCATGCCGCCATGGCCGAGCGGAGCGACTGCCATGCCGCCTCGACGTCGTGCCGCCCCAGCGCGCCGTGGAAGGGCGTGCCGAAGCCAGCGACCACCGTGGCGGCGGCCTCCCGGGCCTCCCGCGCCCCCCAGCCCTCAATGGCATCGCCGTCGAGACGCTGCACGGGGCGCCTCATGAGCGCTCGCTCCGGGGCCGACGCGCGCAACTCCACCCAGAGGGCCGCGTGGGTGGCGAACCCAAGGTCCCACCGGATGCCGACCCGCTCGACGAGCCCCAACGCCTCCGGATTCGCCAGCACGTAGTCCAGCCTCGATGGGGCCCCATCGGAGGGGATGCACGTAGGGCCAGCCGCCGCCAGGAGGTCCCGCCACCCGGCCATGCCCAGCAGGCCCTCCAGGCCCGACTCGGCGACGTTGCAATTCAGGTCGCCTACCAGCAGCGCGGGCGCCCCGCCTAGGCCCCGGAGCCACTCGAGGCCCTCCAGGATCAGGTCGGCGTTGCGCCCCCGGTCGGTCCGCCCTCCAGCGTACCCATAGACGAGGTGGACGGCACGATTCCCTCCCAGGTGAAGTGCCAGGTGCTGGAGGCGGCCCGGGTGCCGGCCAGAGAGGCCCGACATGGCCTCGGCCCGGGCTGAACAACTGCCGGGCGCGTGTGCGGCAGCCAGGAGGTGCTCGCCATCCTGCTCTGGGCCCAGGTGCAGCCGCATCCCGCGGGCACGCGCTGCAGCGGCCGCCGCCGCCGCCTCCAGCTTCGGAATGCGGGCCTCCTGCATGCACCACACGACGGCCTGCGCTGCCATCGCGCCGCGCCAGCTCGCGCTCCAGCGAGTCACATTGGCCGCGAGCACCTTGACCGTGCGGCCTGGGCCAGGGCGCCGCGCCTCCCCGACCCTGACCCCCCTCCAACTTCGAGAATGGTGGTTCTTATGCTAGTTGCACCATAGGTACAGCTAGGTATAAGATACTTATAGCAAGGGATAAGTACCTAAGTATTTCTAACTATTTCTATGTGCCCTTAAGTATTTGTCTTGTCGCATAACTATACTTAGGTTAGTTATAAATATTTCGCTGATTATTAATGACGCTGGAAGATACTTATAACTACCGCTAAGTTACTTACCCGTGCTGCGATGCAATACTTATAAGTAACATATATGTTACTTATAAGTAGCTTATAACTTCATTCCACCCCTCCTTCGCTTCTCTTCCCCCCCGCCGCGCGCCCGCCCGCCGCGCCGCAGGGACGTCGCGGCCCGCGGCCCCCACGCAAAGGAGGACGAGGAGGAGGGCGAGGAGGAGGACGAGGAGGAGGAGGAGGAGGGGGAGGAGGGATGAGGAGGAGGAGGTGGATGTAGTTTTCAGGAACGATTTTCGGAGTTTGGGACATCTTTTTTGGACTTGGTGAGGTTTTCTGGAGTTGGAGAGGTTATCTGGATTTGAAGAGGTTTTTCAGGATTTGGGATTTGCCCATCGACCTGGAGCTCGTCGCGGCGCCGCCTGGTGGGTGCTCGCCGCAGTAGCGATGGCGATCGCTTGGGTGAGGAGGAGGGGGATGGGGAAGGTAGCGATGTCGATCGCTTGGATGGGGAGGAGGAGGAGAAGCGATGGCGATCGCTTGGGTGAGGAGGATGGGGATGAGGAAGGTAGCGATGGCGATCGCTTGGAGGAGGAGGAGGAGGAGGAGGAGGAGGAGGAGGAGGAGGAAGCGATGGCGATCGCTGGGGGAGGCGAAGCGATGTCGATCGCTTGGAAGGAGGAGGATGAGGACGGGAAGGAGGAAGAGAAGCGATGGTGATCGCTTGGGGGAGGGCGGGGTGGGGGGAAGAGGACGAGGGGATAGCGATTACGATCGCTGGTCTTTTGTTTTCGCGCTTGCGGGCGCGCGGCGCGCTCCGCGCTTGCGGGCGCGCGGCCTCACCGCGGAGGCGGAGTCGACGGCGGCGGCATTTGCGCCTTCGCCGCCGCTGGCGCCGCTGGCGGCGCTGGCGGCGCCTTCGCCGCCGCTGGCGCTTTCGCCGCGGCGCGCGCCGCCTTGGCCTTCGCCGCCTTCGCCGCCGCCTTCGCCTTCGCCGCCGCCTCCTTCTCCTTCTTCTCCTCCTTCAGCTCCGCCTCCCGCCGCAGCGCCGCGTCCCTCTCGCCGATCGCGATCACTAGCTCGCGCTCCGCCTCATTCGTCGTCGTCGTCGCCGCCGCCGTCGTCGTCGTCTCGTCGTCATCGTTTCCCGCCTCCTCCAGCCACAGCGAGAGCTGCACGGCGCGCTCTGTCTGCTCCGCGTTGACAGTCTGCATAGGCGGGGGGAGGGGGGGAGGGGCGGTGGAGTGAAGGGAGGAGGGGGTGGGGGGAGGGGCGAGGAGGGGGAGGAGGGGGAAGGAGGAGGTGGAGGAGGAGGAGGAAGGGGAGGAAGCGGAGGAGGAGGATTCGGGGGAGAGCGATGGCGATCGCTGGGAGGAGGGGGTATCCGCCTCCGCGAGCTGCTGCAGCAGGTTGTCGCGCTGGCGCCTGAGCGCCAAAGCGCGAGCCCCCTGCGCGAGCTCGCGCGGAGCACCCCACATCGCGCCTCCGCGCCCCGCGCGCGCGAGCCCCGCGCGCCTCCACGAGGCAGAGCGGCTGCGCGCGGCGCTCAGTGATCTCCTTTATCATTATCCACCTTCCTTTCAGCGATCGACATCGCTTTCCTTCTCCTCATCTCTTTTCCTTCTCCCCATCGTCATCGCCGTCGCTTCACCTCCCCCAGAAGGAGGAGGAGGGGCGACGGGGGGAACAGCGATGGCGACCGCTTGGGGGAGGGGGGGAGGGGGGAGTAGGACGTGCACGGACCGAACCCTACGGGTTGCAAAAACAAGAGAGGAGGAGGAGGAGGTGGAGGAGGGATCATAGGAGGAGGGGGAGGGACGGGGCATGTAGCGATGGCGATCGCTTGTGTGAGGAGGAGGGGGATGGGGGGAGGTTGCGATGGCGATCGCTTGGAGGAGGAGGAGGAGGAGAAGGAGAAGCGACAGCGATCGCTTGGGGGAGGGCGGGGAGGAGGAGGGAGAAGCAGAGAAGCGATACCGATCGCTAACTTAAGTAGGCGGCAATCGTTTTGAACGATCGCTGTGCATAGCCGTTGTCGGCTTTGTAGTCGCGGGTGACGCCCGCGTGCGCGACGCGAGTGACGCCCGCGGGCGCCATGGCGGCCGACCTGGTGAAGCAGCTGAAGGCCGCCAAGTCGGTCCTCGCCCAGATCGGGAAGACGTCCGACGCGTACAAGGAGATCGCGGAGGCGCAGAGCGCCATGGCGATGGCCATCATGGCGCCGTGGACCTTCATCTCCGCCGAGGACTCGGCCATGCTGGTCCTGGAGATCGGCCAGATGCCTTTCGGCAAGAGGGCGCTTGCCACGCTGCTCGGCCGCGTCACGACGTTGGCGACGGCCTCAGCGCAAATGTTGGCCGCTAACGCGGCCGCAAGCGCGGAGCTGGCGGGGTCGGGCAGGACGCCGATGCAGGACTTCTCGTCCATCCTCGCCTACCTCACGAAGAGGCAGTGGGACAAGATCCTGGACGAGCGCAACGACTTCATGGGTCGGGTTGCGGTCGTCCTGCAGGCTTGTAAATCCCTCGGGTGGCGCACGCTGCATGAGCCGACGGTTCAACTGGCGGCGTGCGTCGCCCTCCTCGTGGACGGCTTCGATTGGACGATGCGCATGTGTCCGATGGCACAGTGGGGCTATTTCAAGCGGGCGAAAACATACGCCAAGAAGCTCCTGCCGTGGAAGTTGTGTAAGCAGCTTGCCGCGACCGAGCCGTCCTTCGTCAGCGAGCTCCCTGCGGACCCGACTGACATGCCGAAGGTGCACCCCGAGTGGTACTCGCGCGCGTATGGTGGCGGAGGGGAGGCCCCAGCAAACGAGTGCCCGCTGGACCGCACCATGTTGATGGTGCTGTGCGACGCGGTCCCGATGCGAGAGTCCAAGGCTCGCCTCAAGGCCACGTCCGATGGCAATCGGTCGTCCGTCGACATGGCGTTGCAGCTCGCGGAAAGGGCGATGACGATGCAGGGTGGCGGCCGCCAAGGTGCGCGAGACGGCGTGCCATGCAGGCGTTACACTCCGCAGCCCATTGCGCCCGCCACGGACGGCGCGATTCCGATCGGCGACACGGAGTCGGCGCCACCGCCGACGACGCACAGCGTGGAGGAGGCCAGGGACAAGATCTTCGCGAAGCTCGGCGGCAAACAATGCCTGCCAGATGTGGACAAGACGCCGCCGAGCGAAGACGAGTCGGAGGGCAGCGACGGGGGCGACTCCGATAACAAGAGCACCGACGGCGTGGAGGAGGCGGAGCCGCCACCGCCGATGAAGAAGAAGCGCAAGGCCGCTGGCGACGGCCACCCCGCGCCCCCCAAAGCCAAGGCCACTGCGAAGAGGAAGAACAAGAAGAAGAAGAAGAAGACTGAGGCCGAGCACGTGGGCGCGAAGGGGGTCAAGAAACCACCGAAACCCTCGTATGCGGTGGAATGGTCCCGCAACCAGGTCATGTGCCGCACGGGTGCGAAAGGTCCAGGCCAGTCGATGGCCATCAAGTTCAGCGACCACGGCGGCAGCAGCGACAAGGCGATCGCTGCGGCTAAGAAGTGGGTGCGCAAACAGGAGAAGAAGCTCGGCATCCACACTTGATCGGCAGGGGTGCTGCGACGATGCAGCCTGCATGCGTGTGCTCGCACACGACTAGATAGCCGATTGTGGCTATGAATAGGGAGTGGTGGAGGAGGGGCAGCGATGATGATCGCTTGGTGTAGGGATGGTTGTTCGGGGGGGTGTAGGGTGCAGGACAGCGATGGGGATCGCTTGAGGTCGGTTGGGCAGGGCAGCGATGATGATCGATTGTGGTTGCAGGGATTGTAGATTAGTTTGCAGCGAGTGCAGATTGCAGCGATGGCGATCGCTTGGGGGTTTCAGCGAGTGGAATTGCAGCTGTCGCTTGGAGGATGGCGAAGCTAGAGTGGACGTGGTGATGGGAGGGGAGGTGGATAAGGTGGAAGAGCAAGAGGCGGAGGAGCGATGGCGATCGCTGGGCATGTGCGCACATTGTGCACATCATTGCATGCATCATACTAGCCATTTGGGGCCCAGCAGGTGGCGCGCCAGCGCCTGCGCCAGCGCCTGCGCCAGCGCCGCCATGGCGCCGCCCCGTCGCGACGCCGCCGAGGAGTTCTTCGCCTTCGCGAACGAGGCCGCGGACGTCTTCACCAACGCGGCGTTGGCGGCGCCGCCCGAGGCCGTGGAGGAGGAGGAGGCGCCGCCCGAGGCCGCGGAGGAGGAGCAGGAGGAGGCGTCCGAGGCGGGTGCGGAGGACGTGCTCCTGGAGATCGCGGCGTCGCCAGGCGAGGAGGGCGCGGAGGTCGAGGAACCCGCGGCGGCGGCGGCGGCGGAGGAGCAGGCGGCGGAGGAGGAGGAGGAGGCGGTGCCTTGCGAGGAGGTGCCCCTCGTCGAGGTCGTGGCCTCGCCGCAGGCGCGCGATCCTCGCGACAGCCTCTCGTCGGGCGGCCAGTCGGGCCGCTCGTCGCTGTCGCTCAGCGCGCCGCGGCCGTACGTCTCGCGCCGCGATTTGGCGGCCGTGCGTCAGGCGGCAGCGGCTGCGGCGGCCGAGGAGTCAGCGGCCGCGCCGCCAGCGGCGGCTCCCGCGCCGCCCGCGCCGACGGCCGCGGAGCGCTCGCGGAGCCGCAGCCCGCGCGTCCTCGACCCGCGCGCCAAGGGGTCGCAATGGCCTCGGGTGCCGCCCCAGGCCCACCCGCCTCGGGTGCCGCCCCCCCCTGAGGCCGTGGCCGCGGCGGCGTGGGCGAGGGTCTACGAGGAGCGCGCGGCTGGCCAGGGGGCGGGCTACACCGCGGAGCAGGTCGCCGACCTGCGCGGCGAGGCTGCGGCGGCGAAGGCCCTCGGCTTGGGGTGGTGGCAGCGCGGCCCTGCTGGTCCAGCCGAGGGGGGGCCCGAGGTGTGGCGCGGCCAGCGGTACCGCGTCAACACCAAGCAGTGGGCCAACCGCGGGGGGAGGAACAGGGAGTACTTCGCGAAGAAGTACGGCGGCGGCGCGCCAGGCAAGGCCCCCGCTGGGTCGCGCCCCGACCCCCGCAGCGGCGTCAAGGGCGGCGGCAAGGGCGGCGGGGCCGCGGGGCCGCCCCTGGTTCCTCCCCCCGCGGGGCCGCCCCCGCCCGCCGCGGCGCCGCGCGTGGTGCGCCCGCGCACTGCGGCGTCGCCCGCGCGCCCGCTGGCAACGGCGCCGACGCCAGGGGCAGCGCCGAGGCCGTCGACAGCGCCGCTGCCGCCGTGGCGCAGCGGCGTCCCCGCCGCCGTCCCGCCGCCGTCGCGGCTGACGTGAGGCGCGCGGCGCCGCTGGCGCCGCTGGCGCGGCGCCCTGGCGCGGCGCCGCTGGCGCCGCGCGCGGCTGACGTGAGGCGCGCGGCGCCGCTGGCGCCGCTGGCGCGGCGCCCTGGCGCAGCGCGCTGGGGGTGCGGCGCCTCTTCGCGCCGTGGGCGGCGCGCATAAGCGATCTACATGCGCTTGCTGCTCGCAGGCGCTGTGGCAAAACGATCTCTTGTGTACGCGCAGAGATTGTTTGTAATCGCGTTTGCGACCGCTTGTGTGTGCAATAGCGATTGCGATCGCTTGTGTGTGCAATAGCGATTACGATCGCTGAGGGGATGGGAGGTGTCGCTGAAGGGATGTGGGGATGAGGACCGACGACTAACGGTTACGATGTGTGGATGGGGATGTGAGGATGGGGATGGCTATTACGATCGCTGGCTGAGGGGATGTGACGACTTCTGGCGACGACTGACAAAGGCGACGACCGACGACGACAAAATTGGGCGGGGGAGCGATTCCGATCGCTGGCCTTGTGCTCACAGTGCACGCATCATTGCACGCATTGCATGGCCATTGTCGGCTCCACGCGTAGCGCGCCCGCGCCGACCCGACCGCGGCGCCCGCCAGCGCCGACGCCCGCGCCGACAC